ACGATTTGCTGATTTACTATACCAGTTTATACAGCCGTGATGGCGAGGGTAGCGATCGGGCAGGAAGGAGGGGTGGTGGTGGGGGATCGCATCGAGATTCCCCTAAAGGTGGGACACAAAATTCTTGTGAAAGTGCGAACACGACGGTTGAGCCTGACTCCCTCGGTACCATATTGTTTCCTTGCCATTGATAATCAGATCTCAATTGACGCGGGTAAGTAATTTTTCTTGATATTTTCAGCTGAATAGAAACAACGTTTCGAAGAAATATCGAGGATTCCTTAGAACGACCTGTGGTGGAAGTGAAAAACCTGGCGATTTCAGCTCTTCGATATGTGTTGGAAAACTGATACCGCCCTATAGCAGAGGTATGTGTTACTGAAAAAGGATAGAATATGAAATTATCGCAAAATTTGGAACTTTCTTAAATATTTTGTCTATCAAGCGATTTTCTTAATTTTTTTCGAATAAGCTCTCCTGCGAGGAAAATCTTCCTATCCATATTTCAGATATACCCGAACACTACGACGTCTTTTGTTTTGTTACCGCATGGTCTTCCGGATTTTGAGTTCAATGGAGATGCTGGTGCCATCAAATTATCAAGTACGTATCATTTGACAAACTAAGCTGGACTATAACACTAATATCGATTTCTAAAAAAAATGAAGATATAACCTCATCCCTCGAAAATCGCCCAAGGATTGTTGACCAGTTCACAATCTTATAAGTTCAGGAAAACAGGATGGTATACCGTAACCCGGGCCAGGGCGCAGTCGCTACCTTTTAAGTACCGCTAGGGTGTGAGCGAATGCAACCATCGAGGCTACCCCGGAGTGGAGCAAAGTTTGAGCGATGTGAACGCACCGTGCCATCCTCCACCTTCTACATTAACGGCGCTTAGTATAGTTGGCGAGTTTGCTCGACGCATTCTCTCCTCGTTGAGAGAGCGCAGAGAAAACGAGAAGTGGGAGGCGAGCACACATGGAAAATCGATGACACGTGACATTGCGCGCCCCAGTGCCAACGCCCAACGTCGAGAGGGTTACGGTATACCGCCCTATGTTCCTGAACTTATAATCTTCTGACGATTGCGAGGTTTTACCCTAGTGGAGATCATCTATGATTTCACGCAATCAGTAACTTACTCCATTCCCCCCCCCCTTCTCCCCCACCAATCCAGTCCCTGAAGCTGTTCATTTTTGTGGCTTTATGCGAGCTTTATAACCAAGTGTACGGATATTATGGTAATTCCACGTAGCGTAACGTAACATTTCTGCTGGAATATTTCTGATGAAAGACAGAGTCAACTGTCGCGTTTGCACTGTTCCAAAATTTTTGCGCCCCCTCCCCTTAGGGGTATCGATGCGATTCTTCGCTATCACCATCAGAAGGCCGATGTGGCTTTGCAAATAGAGCAATTTGCTAGCGTCCTCGGATTGCGACCAGTGAACCACTCAGTTTGCTGGCACCGCAACACGTCTCAACCGTCACAGCCATGGCTGACGACACGCTCCAATTCCATTCACCTTTTTCCTCCGGAACGGCCGTCGTGGGCTGGGTGAAAGCCAACCCGTAGTTTTTTACTGTGGTATTGATTGCTCCTCAGATCCAAGTCGTTTCTTTGTGAGCGACTGGCAATTCCGGAATTCCTCGTTAGGGTTAGACCATACGAGGGCGGGTAGTGGACACTGAACTGCCACTCTGGGCTTTGGTGAAACGCTTGAGCAGTAAATTCTGAAAAACACCTAAGTACTAATTGCGACAATCATGTGATTAGGGAACAGTATGCTCAATGACTTGGGTTAAAGGCAAAGTTCGGGCTCAGACCCACCTAATAAGCCCTTAAAGTGGCTAGAAGTGCATGGGACGCAACTGCAGGCGACTCGCCAAGTTCCCGCATCGAAATGCGTCACTAAGGCGCTAGGGGCCAAGGACTTTGACACGCTCCTCCTGTTGCGACACGCTCCGCCCACCGCTCGATATTTTGTCTGCGTCGCAATGCTGATCTGCTATGCTCTCTCTTCTCGGATTTCTCTACCGCTCTCCGCGCTCACATTATCTCTCATCTCCTGCCGGCCTTTTGAACTTCTCCGCAACGTAGAGCAAAAGGCTCGTATTTCCTGTGTATTTCACGATTTTTTTCTCTTTTTTCTCCACTGGCGGTCCACCTCCCACCCCTGAATCACATTTGAGTACTTCCCAGTTTAAGCTTTGAATCTTGGCCTTACTCGCAAGCTTCGTAGAGTGTGGCTGCGAGTGCCTTAGAAGTGAGTAAATTTAACTTATTGAGTAAGATCTATGATTCAAAGAAAAATTGTTTTTAGCTCGAATCCTCACGTGTGTACGTCTGGTCCGGAAAAGCAAGATAATGGTGTCATCAGCGGAAGGACAAGCGGACGTTCTGCTGGCAGCACAGAATGGACACCTTGGAGGTGATCTGAAATTGAATCGGTGAGAGATTTTAGAGACTCACCAACGACAAAGATTTTTTAGCGAAGGCTCTTCCATGAGGGCGGTGCTTGGAAACGGAAAGTTCCATGCTGCTCCTGTTGGCCGTTAATTTGCAGTGGCTTTCGTTGGATCAGTCGGCTTCTAATGTTCGTTGCCTCGAGGTAATTGTAGTCTGAATAAGAGCATCCAGCTAACTAAGCTCTTGTTATTCCATTTCTGCGGTTATAATTTTCCAACGTCGCTGCTGCTGTAATTTAGTTGAGTAATGGAGTTGGTGGTATCCAATTTAGGGATAAATAACTGCGATAAAATTGATGTTCTGAAAGAAAGGCTTAGGGGGCAGAGCGCCTAGCGGAGGGCTATTTTGGAAGCAGGTGCGTCGGCGGCAATAAGGCCTTTGTCATTCGGCATTACAAAGTGTAGAGATGTGCTCGTGGCCAGTCGGTCTCAGACACGCCCCACCGCGACTGCGGGCGATTATTTAGAACAACGATTACCAGCTCATGGCGGTCTTTCCTTTTTAATGTATGTTTCACGAACATATAAGCAGAGACCGTCTGTCGATGGCCGATTCCATGGTAACATTTTTTGACATTACCTAAACCACCCTTACTTAGGGGAGATCGTCCGCTTCCAGGTGGCGGTGGTGGGCGTGTCGGAGGACCGGACTGGCCCCGAGGCATAACGGAAAGAGCCGTTTTCGGGAGGTGGGTAAGTCAAAGTTTTTCGGTTCTTTCTTGAAGCTAAGGCAATTGCACCCTTCTTAATCACGGATCCAACGGTAATAACTTCTCGTGAGGGCGTGGGCCCTAAAAGCTTACTTAACCCTAGTTGGTATTAACAGTGGTTCGATTGGCAATTCGTCGCACTGGAACACGGAAGTATTGTGTATCATGGTTAGTGGAGCAGCTTTTAATTCGAAAAGCATAACCCACGTAGCCTCAGATTGCGAAGGATACGTCAGGCTTGAACGACCGCATCACTATCGCATTTGTGCGCACACTCGTTCAACAAAAATAAAAAAGATTGCGCCCGCGGGGGTAGGGCTGCTAATCATTAGGGGCTGGCGAGTATATGTGGGCTTATTGAACATCGCTCCTACCATCGTCCGCATTGTGTGGAGATAGCGCGATCTCGAACAGAATGCTTTCCCGTGTACTTTTATTCCTCTGATCGCTTTGACTCGCCACCCTACTACACCACACCTTACTGGAGGTCGAGGCCTTAATTTTAGAATTTCCGATGGCTTTTCTTGCTTTCTTTTTCATTTGTTCATTTGCAGCTCATAGTTCACTACGACGCGCTCTCATACACCAGTTTTATCCCGATCTGCATTCAATCATTCAATTTAAATATTTTAAGACTATCGGTGCGACTTCATCGCACTTCGCTGCCTGGTATGGATCCGTCATCAATCGAACAACTTGCACCGCTAGCCAAGACATTCATCGGACCTCAGCTAAGTCAGGCTCTCAAGAAAGGCATACCATTCCCCCTCAAGGTACTACACATTTCTATACTTTCAATCTGAGAAGTAGTTCAGAACAGTGAATATGATTTCAGGATTCGATCACATTCGTCGAGCCACAATTGAAAACCCGTGACGGTTACATTGAACTAGCCACGGACTTCGTTCTTAACGAAAACGCGATGCGAGCGAAAATTCATGAGACGTTCGCCGATATAAATATCTAGTATTAGTTCGTTAATATTGTTCGTTAGCCAAGTTGTGCAGTAATTTAATAACGATAAAAGTGTGCCTGAATAATGCGTATATCCCTTTGAATCCAAATCCCTCGAATTAGCTAGGAAAATCAAAAGCTTACGTTTATAGGATCTAATTGTTAACAAATTCAGAAATTTGAATTCACGGTTCAAAAATACTCAGTAAGGGAGTTAGGACCTTGAAACATGTGCTGAAATGGATTGCATCTTTTGTTCGTGAAGCAACCGTTTACGCATCGGCGTGTCTGCGTCTCGCCTGGCGCCATGCTCTCTCTCCTGTTCTCTTTCTTTAGCGCTCAGTGTCTCTTCCTCGTGACACTCTCTTCACAGGGGGGCAAGGCTCTTGGTTTCACTGATTTCGTTGAATATTCTGTTTCGCATTTACCTTTTCCCCTTTGCACCTATAATTTCATTTCCAACAAAGGTCACCAAATCTCGAGATTGTGAGAAGTACCTTTTAGGAACTGGCGAACAACGAGTTATCATTAGGGATCATTAGGGGCCATTCCTATTCAGCGATCTTCTTGCTCCTGACGGTACGAAATTGGGGAGGGTTCAGATCCCCTTCCGAAAAAGACATTCTTCAGTTCAATATCCGCAGTATGCCGTTGGCTGCTCGCCTCCCAGGGCCACGCCCACATTCGTGCCTACTGTTTGTCACCCAGTTGCTGTTGTCCAGATGTTTTTAAAATTTATTTGTAGAGGTATAAGGTAGGAATCCAAAGCAGTTAGTAGTTATGGTAGACCCAGGTGCAAAATTGATGCCAAGATGCAGAGCTAGCTCGGGCAACCATATTGAGGGAGGAGTCTGGGTTCTTCCTCGGAGTGGAGTTTGTGGGCGCTGAATCGGTTGTTTTTGAATGTTCCTATTGAGAAAGCTGAATGAAATCAGGCCAGCCTGGAATCAACCCCTCTACATAAGAAGGCCCCATAATTTTTTGCTTTTCCCGTCCTTTTTTTTATATCTGAAATTGTCTTTCCATGTAGAGACCGTCCAAAACAATAGCGGAGGCTGTACGGGCTTAGTAGCGGCTAGAAAATATGATTGCTTCATCTCGGCATGGACAACAATTTTTCGAGTAAATGTGTACCATAATACTATCTCAATGAAAGTTTGCCTCTATTTTATCGAGATTCTCGAAGAAACCTATTGTTTTATTTATTCATTTATTAAATCATCTTTATTTATTTTTTCACTTATTTGGAAGTGGTGTAGTGGCAAGTGGCACGCTTACCACGCGAGCGGTCCGGGGATCAAATCCTGGGTCGTGAGTCGCCCGGGCCAACCAAGCCTTCCATCCCTCCGGGGTCGGTTAATTGGTACCAGACTTGTCTGGGAGGATAAAAACACTGACTTGTACATCGGCTGGCCCCCCAAGTCATTGTATAGGCCACATCGCATTCAAACGCCACTACGAATGTACAAATGGAAGTAGAATGCGTGCCGCATCCCAAAAAGGGATTGATCAACGGCAAATGCTTTATCCTTTTTATCCTTTTACTTCTTTCCTTGTTTTGTATTACAGGGTGATGAAATAGTGTTCTAATTAGAGGCATAACCAAATGACTTATTTTATTCAGCACTTCTGAAATGGGGGAAAATTTCCATACTACTCCACTCCACTGTTTTGGAGACGATCTAATTCTGAAATTAGGAACAGCTGCGTAAGAAGATGTTCCTATGCAAATCCTATCAAAAGAAGTCATACCAGGTCGTGGTGGCCATTTGTAACGAGACATACAATACTACGCTATCTCAAAAAAAAAACGAGAAAGCGTCGAGTGCACACCATACACCACAATCTGACGACGGCCGCGAGAAAGTGGCAGTTGACAACCGACAAGGAAATTTATTGGTTGCAGTTGTATTCTATTAGCTATCTGTATAATTCTACTTCGCTCGTCATCATTTTATTCAGGTGAGTTATTTGTAACAACAGAACTCGACATAATATATAAAATTTGCGAAACTCACCACGACAGCATTCGATGGTAGCAGTGAAATCATTGACAACGCCTGAAAAGCATGTTTACTGTTGTTACAAATAACTCACCTGAATAAAATGATGACGAGCGAAGTAGAATTAGACAGATAGCTAATAGAATACAACTGCAACCAATTAATTTCCTTGTCGGTTGTCAACTGCCGCTTTCTCGCGGCCGTCGTCAGTTGTGGTGTATGGTGTGCACCCGACGCTTTCTTAAAGGGCAAGGTATATGGGTTTTTGGACGCTGATTTCGAATCTGCCCTCCAAATCTGCGGAACGATTCTCTGAACGTAGTTATGAAGCGAGATAGTGCAGTGGCAGCGGCCCGGGCCGACGGAAAGAGGTCGTGAGATCGACTTCTTGGCGAGTTTTCACTTTTTCTGAAAACATTGTTAAGGAACCCTCATCC